TATCCAGTTTTCCCAGCACCATTTATTGAGGAGACTCTCTTTTCCTCAGTATATATTCTTTGCACCTTTGTTGAAAATGAGTTTACTGTAGGTGTGTAGATTTGTTCCTGGGATTTCTATTCTGTTCCATTAGTCTATGTGTCTGCTTTTATGCCAGCACCATGCTGTTTTACTTACTGTAGCTCTGTAGTATAATTTGAAATCAGGTAACATGATTCCTCCAGTTTTGTTCTTTTTGCTTTGGATAGCTTTGGCTATTCTGGGTCTTCTGTGGTTTCATATAAATTTTAGGATTGTTTTTCCTATTTCTGTGAAGAATGTCATTGTTATTTTGACAGGGATTGCATTGAATCTGTAGATTACTTTGCATAGTATGGGCATTTTAACAATATATTTTTCAATTTTTTGGTGTTCTCTTCAATTTCTTTCACTAGTCTTTTATAGTTTTCATTTTAGAGATCTGACCTTTCTTTGGCTAATTTCTAAGTATTTAATTTTATGTGTGGCTACTGTAAATGGGATTACTTTTTAAATTTCTTTTTCTCATTGTTCACTGTTGGTATGCAGAAATGTTACTGATTTTTGCATGTTAATGTTGTATCCTGCAACTTTGCTGAATTTATCAGTTCTAATAGTTTTCTTATGGAGCCTGTAGGTTATCGAAATATAAGATCATATCACCTGCAAACAAGGATAATGTGACTTCTTCCTTTCAATTTTGAATGCCCTTTATATTTTTTTCTTATCTGATTGCTCTAGCTAGGACTTCCATTACTATGTTGAATAACAGTGTTGACAGTGGGCATCCTTGTCATGTCCCAGATCTTAGAGGAAAAGCTTTTGGTTTTTCCCCATTCAGTAGGATACTAGCTGTGGATCTGTCATATATGTGGCTTTTATTATGTTGAGTCATGTTCTTTCTATCCTCAGTTTTTGGAGGTGTTATATTTTTTATCACGAAAAGATGTTGACTTTTATAAAATACTTTTTCAGCATCAATTGAAATGATCATGTGATTCTTATGCCTCATTCTGTTGATATGATGTGTCACATTGCCCGATTTGTATATGTTGAACTACTCTTGCATCCCAGGGGTCCCACTTGGTCATTATAAATGATCTTTCTAATGTATTGTTGAGTTTGGTTTGCTAGTATTTTGTTGAGTAGTTTGCATTATTCATCCAAGATATTGGCCTGTAGTTTTCTATTTTTGATGTGTCTGTTTGGTTTTGGTATCAGGGTCTTACCCTGGTACAAAAACAAGAAAAAGACATAACAAAAATAGAAAACTACAGGCCAATATCTCTGATGAACATAGATGCAAAAATTATTAACAAAATACTAGGTAATTGAATCCAACAACATATCAAAAAGATGCTCCACCGTGATCAAGTGGGTTTAACCACTCTGTTTTTTGAGTGGAGAGTTTAGTCTATTTACATTTAATGTTGTTGTTAAGTAATAACTTACTCTTGACATTTGTTACTGTTTTCTGATTGTTTTGTGGTCTTTTCTTCCTTCTTTTTTTACTTCTTGTCTTCCTTTTAGTGAAGGTGATTTATCTCACCTTCTCCCACCTTAGGGGGCACCCTAAGCCCAGTAACGCTGTGGTTCTTGCAGACTCATAGAGGTAAAACCTTGTTAGTCTTGGATAAGATCCCGGAGAATTCTCTGGATTGCCAGGAAGAGACTTGTTTATTTCCCTTACTTTCTCCCAAACATAAAATATTACTCTGTTCTGAGCCACCTAAAGCTGGGCATAGAGTGACACACACTCTGTGGCCACCACTGGTAATCTGAGTCAGTCCTGAAGCCAGCCCAGTGCTGGGTCTTGCCAAAGTCCTGCTGTAACTACTCCCTGGCTACTGCCTATGTTCATTCTAGGCCCTGGGGCTCTAAAATCAGCAGTTGGCAAAGCCTGTGTCCTCCCCTTGATTGTGGCAAGGTCCCCTAAGCCCCAGGTGGGTTCAGAAGTGCTAAGAATCAGGCACTAGAGTCAAAAACCTTAGGAGTCTACCTGATTTTCTATTTATTGTTGCTGAGCTGGCACTCCAACTATAAAACGTAGTCCTTCCCACGCTTCCTTCCCCTTTTCCAAAGGCAGAGGAACCTCACCCTATAGCCACCACCACCCCTGGCCATGAGGAATACTGCCAGACTATCAGCACTGTTCCCTTAAGGCCCAAGGACTCTTAAGTCAATTGTTTGATGCTGCCTAGCCCGGGACTAGGCTCCCCAGGGCAATGCACTCCCCTCTGGCCCAGGGCAGGTCCAGAAATGCTGTCCAACAGTCAAGTCTTGGAATTGGAGACTTCAAGAGCCGACTTGGTGCTCTACCCCTCTGTAGCAGTGTTGGTGCCTGATGCCAGCAGATCTCAGAGACTTACCAAGGCCTTCCATGTAGTACCTCGGTATTGCTACTGGTTATTTAGGTGGTTAGCAGGTGATGAATGCGGGCAGGACTGGATTTTTTTCCATTAAGGCAGCGGGTTCCCTTCTGTCCCAGGGTATGTCTAGAATTGTCATCTGCCAGCTAGAACTTGGAAGATTCGTGACTCTGACCTAACCTGCTGTGCCTAAGCTGGTATCCAAGATGCAAGACAAAGTCCTCCACACTCTTCCCTCTTCTGTCCTCAAGTGGAAGGAAGGGGTCTCTTTGAGCCTGGAGCTGAGCAGTCAGAGTTAGGGGAAGGATGTTGCCAGTACTCCCTTGACTACTCCAGCTAGTGTCTCAGTGTGTCATGTGCCCCCAACCCACTGTTTCTGGGCCTATTTCATCCCTAGGACTTGCCTAGGAGTTGTGGACTAGACCACCTTACGGCCTAGACCACCTTTCACATTTGCTTAGAGACCAAGAGCACTTTGCTTTCTATTGAAGACAGGAAGTAATACCTTATTAGTCCATTTCAATTCAAGGCTGTTAAGTGCAATCATGTATCTTAAGTCAATATATGGTATACTGGAACTGCAAATGTGTAGTCTTCCTATTCACTCTAGGGGAAAAGTGTCAGTTAAGGCTTTATTGAGAAGGGAGTAATCATATGAGACTATATTTCAAGTCACCAAACAAAAAGCAATTAACCTCCAGACATCTAAAATATAGCATTTTGATATTGTATTTTCTGCTTATCATTTTAAATTTTATATGTACATAATTTCTTAGATATTGTATTAGTCAGGGTTCTCCAGAGAAACAGAACCAGCAGAATATACACACACAGACAGATACACACAAACCACACACACATATATAAATATATGTACACATACAAAAAGAGATTTATAATGCATTGGCTGTTGTGATTTTGGAGACTGAGAAATCCCCTATCTACTATCTGCAAACTGGAGACCCAGAAGAGCAGATGGTGGTATAGTTCCAGTCTGAGTGCAAAAGAATGACATCCCAGCTCAAAAACAAGCAGAGAAAACAGATTCTCCCTTACTTCTTCTTTTTGTTATATTCAGGCCTCCAAAGGATTGGATGATGCCCACCCACATTGGGCAGGACAATCTACTTAAGTTTACCTACAGATTTGAATGTTAATCTCAACCAGAAACACCCTCACAGAGACATCCAGAATAACGTTTAACCAAGTATTTGGGCACTCTGTGGACCAGTCAAGTTGACCCATAAAATGAGCCATCATAAAAAGGATTAAAGTTTCTGTTAGATAGTGGTTCTTAAAGTGTCATCCCCAGACCAGCATCACCTGGGAATTTGTTAGAAGGGCAATTAATTCTTGAACTTCCCCTCCGATCTACTGAGTTAGAAAAAACTCGGAGGATGGGGTCTGTCAATCTGTATTTTACCAGTTCTCCCATTAGAATCATGCTGAAGTTTGAGAACCACTGCTTCAATAAGTCACTGATTAATTCTTAAATATGTTATATAATTTACTGAATGAATATGTATAAAATGGTGTTTAAAAAGAAGAGTATAAACTATGTATTTATATACAGTAAGCATGTATTAATAATACATGAAACTCCTTCATACATTATCTCATTTAATCCTCACAGCAGCCCTCAGAGGGAGCATAGTGGTTCTCAGCCATGGGTCAGTTTCCAAATACCCATGAAACTTGAATGCAGTTGTTCAGGTTTTGCCTCAGACCTACTGAATCAGAAACTGTTTTGTTTTTAATATTTACTGTAATTGAAAATCACCGAGGTGGGTATTTTTTAGTATATTTTATGTACATGAAAATTGAGGCTTCGAAAAGATGCATAATTTGACTATGGTTTCTGATATAGTATAAAACTGAACAAGTATTTTATTAATTTATTTAGCAAATACTGACATTAGATGATGAATAAGTCTGTCTGACTTTAAATACTATGCTCCTAATTATTCAGATAAATTCAATTTATGTTATCTACCAGAAAAAAAGTGTGTTTTCAAGGAGAGAGAAAGCTAATATTTACAAAGTGATTTGCAGTGTTGTTTTTTTTTTTTACAAAGCATAACAACCTTGCAATGTTTTATCATTGCTGTTTTAGAAGTTAGGAAACTAAGGCTGAGTAAGATGAAGTGATTTGTCCCAAATTATACAACCAGGAAGCCTCAGGGTTGAGTGTGGAACCAGGCTTTCTGACTGTCTGGCTCCAGAGTTCAGCTTTTTCTAACCACTACTTAATCACATATTTATGTATAAAATTAGAATAAGAAAGATAAGTTATGTTTTATTTTCAGGATTAAATACCTTCCTGATCATTAAATTTAGTTAGAAATTGTAAAAACCCAGCCGGGTGCAGTGTTGCATGCCTGTAATCCCAGCACTTTGTGAGGCCAAGGCGAGTAGATCGCTTGAGCCCAGGAGTTCAAGACCAGCCTGGACAACATGGTGAAATCCCTTCTCTACTGAAAACACAAAAAGTAGCCAGGCATTATGGCATGTTCATGTAATCCCAGCTACTTGTGAGGCTGAGGCATGAGATTCGCTTGAACTGGGAGGCGAAAGTTGCGGTGAGCCGAGATTGCACCATTGCACTCCAGCCTGCATGACAGAGCAAAACTCAGTCTCAAAAAAACCCAAAAAAGCAAACCAAAAAAAATCCCAAAACAGCCCTCCACAGAAATCCCCAAAAGCAAGCACAGTATTTATGGTCTGATTTTATGTTCCTAAGTCCTAAAGAAAGTGTCAGTTAAGCCGTCTTCTAAATATGAGCACTCCAGCTTTTCTAATTAGCTAGTAGAAATACTGACAATGTCCTAATTCATTGTTAATTCAGAATACATTTGCCACTTTTACTATGTAAGGGTTTTTATAATCTAGTGTGGTATGGTACCTGGACTAGTTTGCCAGCGTAGTGGCTGAAACAGATTAATTTATTCACACTGGGAAGAATGCAGTTGGGATAATGCTGCACTGCTCTTGCTCTCATGAGCCTTTTAATTGCCTTTGCCTTATGCCCTTTCTACATAGATGAGATCACAGAAGCTCAAAAGGACAGGTTCATAGTAAGGGGACAGAGCCATTTGGAGTGAGGCCCTTAAGCCCTTTATTTTGGATTTTTCCTCCCCAGTTAGTTGGGTGGCAACTCAGAAAGATAAATTTTCATTTAAGACACTTTATTAAAAAGCCACTTTGAATCTATAAGAACATGTGGAATGGGAGATGTCCTTTTGTCCTAGAATTTGAGACCTCAAAGTTTTGGACATTGAGTGACAATCTCCCCCATACTTCAGAGATTGGTGCTGCACCCAGCTCTATGGGAATTACTGAAAATTAGCCAGATCACCAACTGGTCTGTGATCTGCCTCTGGCCTATTTGGACCTGTTTTACAGGGAAGGGAGGCAGATGCTTCCTACACCATCAGATCATGGGTTGGGAGGCCCCAAGAGTACTGTGTATAGAGGTTATGTTCATCTACAAAATGGTACAATGTCATCTGAGTCCCTGGCTGGATGTTTGCCAAATTGCAAAAACCAGTGGGGTTTCCTCTTGCAGCTAGCTGAGCAAAGAGTGAGTTTCTTTCTTGAGAGAACCTGACGTGGCTCTGCATAATTTGAAACAAAGTGTGGTAATAATAGGTCTCTGCTTCCCCTCTGGAAAAGACAAAGGATAGAAAAGAAAGTAGATCTGCCTTTGACTGAAGGGCAAGGAGGAAGGCGTCAGCAGTTTGTCAAGCTATACATCCACTGTATTTCCTGCAAGTCAAGTGGACCCTAAGAGGGCTTCCTACTGGGGCAAAGCTGAGGGGTGCTGGTGATTCTGAGTGGTCAGCTGAAGAGCTCATTGTCTATTGCAGGAAACGTCTAGGCATAGGAACTTGTTGAGAGTCTCCCAAGAATCTGCAAATGTAGTTAATGAGATCCAATATTTGGAAGAATGCTATGACAGAGGGCATCTAATAGTCAAATGAGAATTATAAAATAGCTTTTTTTTGGATCCGTGCCATCATCTTGGATTCAGAAATGGAAAGGCAAGGTTGGGGACGGGATGAGGGGAAGAAATGAGTATAAAAACCAAAACAGAGTCCTCCTCTATGTCTTCTCATGGCTTCTCTTCCCCTCACACTGAGTCATTACTGAGCTGACAGGAGGGGACAGTGCAAATCGAATATTAGATTAATGCTTTGAGTTAGACAAGACTGAACTTTTTAATACTGGATGACAAAATTGTTATCATGAAAATAGACCTGAAAGAGACACTGTTAAGGCTGGAGGATGGGAGACCTGACAAAACGTTTGAATACAGTGATGGGAGAAAAATGATGCTGTTTCCTGATTGCTACTGAGTCCAGCTCCTCATGTAATAATGAATAATGAAGGGCCCAGGTTCCTTAACAGATGCATTGTAGAGAAATGGAAAAGATGGGAGAGGATTCTGATTTCTGAATTATAAACTTAGAAAATCACTACAGTGAAAGGCTTCATTTAAATAAGAGGCTAAATTAGAAAGTTTCCTTGATATGTTGGGACTTTAAACATCTATACTTTTTGGAGGGGTAGGGAAGGGGTGTTACTTTTTAATATATTGTGAGCAAGAAAAATTTGTCAGATTTCAGTAGCAATATGCTTTTCTTTTCTTTCTTTCTTTTTTTTTTTTAAAAAAAAAACAAATCCTGCCTCAGGTTTATTTGTACGAATAGCACAGAAGGACACCAGTCCTATTCAGACGACAGCCCAGGGTGGGTCACACCAGTCCTTCTGTCCTCACATTGGCAGACAGAGATCTCTACTCTGAAGGCTTTGTAGCAGCCTGGGCACCTTTGGGAGCCTGAGCTGGAACTGAAGCTGGAGATGTAGCCTGCGCCTTGGTTTGATCCTTGGCCTTGGCCTTTGGCCAGCACAGCCTGAGCCCCTTGTCAATACGGGCATGAGCACCCTTGCCAAGCTTGGGGTGGGCAATGTAGGCAAGTTGATTGAGCTTGCAGCTTACACCCTGTGGGATCTTGGGCTTAACCTCCTTGGGCTTTACGAGGACCTTGATAGCATTGGCATGTGCACTCATGGCCTTGGCATTGTTGGCCTGCATCTTCTTTGGGCCCTTCTTGTGCTTCTCGGCAAAGCGCATGTTCCTCAGGAACATGGGGTTCACCCCTTAGGAGATTTGTATCTTTATAATTGGGGTTTCTTAAGGCAATTTCTATGCCATATTTGGGATTGGTTGTGTGTGGTATTATTCTTGGACTTGGCCATGTCTACACTGTAACCTGCGGCTCCTGAAGCACCTGGAACCGGTATGCTTTTGTATATAACTGGACATCTTGGTTTGTTTGCATTTCTATAAAGGAATTCCCAAAGCTGGGCAATTTTTAAAGAAAGGGGTTTACCTGGCTCACAGCAGGCTGTACAAGTAGCATGGCATCAGCCTCTGTTTCTGGAGAGGGACTCAGATTGCCTCCAGTCATTGTGGAAAGCAAAGGGGAGCTGCTGTGTTCAGAAATCACATGGTGTAATAGGAAGCAAGAGAGACAGGAGAGGCAGGTGCTAGGCTCTTTTAACAAACAGTTCTCACAGGACCTAAGAGTGAGGTTTCACTCATTTCTGTGATGACAACACTAAGTCATTCATGAAGGATCTACCCCTGTGACCCAGACACCTCCCATTAGGCCCCACCTCCAACACTGAGGATCAGATTTCAACATGACATTGAGGAGAACAAATATTCAAACAGTAGTACCTGGGATATAATGTTATTTTGGAATGCTGTACACTTTTCACACACCATCTCATTCCATATACATTATTTTTATAAATTATCATAGCAGAGTTTTCATTATAATTCTGAAATTACATTCTCCATTGCTGACAATGCAGCTTTAATATTGTTGGTCCTAATAGTGACATTAGCTATTTGGTGTTTTTATTGTTTTATGTGGACCATAATGACTTAAGCCTTTTGAGCATACGTCAGTTCATTTAGTTACCTCCATTATTTCTTTCAACCGAGATACACAAGGAACAATTTTAGTTAACAGACTCCAGGTTCAATTTTTAGATAGTTACCAGACTCCAGGTTCAATTTTTAGACAAATGAGCTTTGGCTTTTGGAAAAAGCTTGAACATAGAGTGTAATATAAAAGCTAGGCCCCCCTCCAGTTTCTTTTTTAAGACTTTTCTACTAATGTGAAAAGTCCTTGATTCTCTTGGTAATGAAGAGATTAAATCATTGGTGTCATTATATGTTGAATTTGGCTGTTTTCATCAGCCTTCAGGTTCTGGCTTGTCTGCCTTTTGTTCATTTAAAACAAAATGGGGTAACATCATTTGTTTTTAAAAATTTGATTGCCTTAAGATTATTTCTGACTTTCTGACATGTGTTTATAGCTAGGCTTCATGGAGAGTAGGTATCTGAGAAAGAAAGTATTTTTCCTCCTCACAGACCCTAATTCTATCTTGTAGGTTTTGATTTAAAAAAAAAAATTGTCTGTGCAATATGCTAAACATATGGGTTTCAACTCTTTCTTTTGTTTTCTTTTCTTGAGACACAGTCCTTCTCTGTTGCCCAGGCTGGAGTGTAGTGGCTCCATTTCGGTTCACTGCAACCTCCAAATCCCAGGTTTAACTGATCCTCCTGCGTCAGCCTCCTGAGTAGCTGGGACTATAGGTGTGGCCACCACGTCCAGCTAATTTTTGTATTTTTAGCAGATTCAGGGTTTCACCATGCTGGCCAGGCCAGTCTCAAACTCCTGGCTTTAAGTGATCCACCCTCCTCAGCCTCTCAAAGTGCTAGGATTACAGGTGTGAGCCACTACGCCGGGCCCTAACTTATTATTCTGCTTTGTTCCTATGAATTCTTCAGCAGAACTAACTTTGGAGTGTTATGGCCCTTTCTGCTAACAAACTTGGTTATATATGGTACTTAGTTTATTTTCCTACCATTAACAAGCAATTGTGGACCTTGTGGTTGAGCGAACATAAGAAAACACAAATATTTGTGCCAGACTCTCAAACCACACATTTTAGAGCTAGTCATATGATATGCTCACCCCATGGTAATTCCTTGTCCAGAATGCTGCAAGTTTTACTTCTTGGCTAGGTTCATAAATCCTACAACGTAAAGTTTTGATTTTTTATTTTTATTTTTTATTTGTAACTAATATTATGTCTGGGAACTAGATTTGTATCTTTAGATCCTAAGAATTTAATATTTTTATTCTATGCCGTAGGTACTCTATGTTTTTTTTTTTTAATTTTGGAAAGTGCCTAAATAAAAGAGTCTCTGCTGTTTATATTTTATCAATAGATGCTTATGCAGCATGAGTCCTTCCACAGAGACATGCTCACTGGATAGTTAACAATTTTCAACTAGTAAAAATATGCACGCAAAATACGATGCTTACTTCTCGCATGCTGAAATACTAAAAAATGCAAAAATTTGACCTGAGATCTTAAATGCTGACCATTTGTGTTATCTTTCTGAATTACTTTTTTTTTTTTTTTAAATTTCCTGGTTGGCAGATAGTTGAATTTTGTCTTCTCCAAATTTTCTCTCTTTGTTAAAGGAAAGTCTATAGTCATTTCAGATTTGTTCTTTTATATATTCTGTCTTCTCTAAACTTTATCTATTGAGAAGACTTTTTTCATTACCAATTCAAAAGCAATCCTACGTCTTAATACACTTTATGTGACTCCTACAAGAGGTGTAATTAGTAGGAAAGGCATCTTTTAAATGCATTGGGTTCAAGAATAAAGGCTATCCATTTAGAATTCATACTGAAGTCAGTTATATTAGAGTAGGTAAGTGAATGAGAATCCTCTTGAAAAATTTTGCTTTGGGTCCTACAACTTATTCTAAGCTTCTAACTTACATTTTATTTATTTATTTACTTACTTATTTATTGAGACAGAGTCTTGCTTTGTCATGCAGGCTGGAATGCAGTGGTGTGATCACAGCTCACTGCAGCCTTCAACTCCTTGGCTCAAGCAATCCTCCTGCATCAGTCTCCCAAGTAGCTAGGAGTACAGATGATTGCCTCCATGCCCAGATAACTGACTTAAATTTATGTATTCTGGTCAAAATCAGCTAATTAGTCAAAGGCATTTCCTTTAATTCTGCAATGCTTTCAGTCATCCAATTGGAACACGTTCCCTCATTGTAACTAACTCTTTTTCCTGTTTAATTAATGGTCATAGTTCAGAGTTCATTTCCTGACTGAAACCTCTACTTTCAGTGATTTAAACTCTTGATTTTAATCATTAGGTTAATAATGAACATTTAAAACTCAAAAATCCCAGCTCTTAATCCATATTACTACTATTGATTTGAATATTTATATGTTCCATTTTAGTACATATGGTAGATTTCGTATGCTAATATTTTCATATTTTAAATGCTGAATTTAGCCATACAGATAATTTTGTAAGTGACAAATAAAAAGTTTACGTATTTTCAGTGTACAGTATGATATTTTGATATATATTGATTTAATCCATTGAAACATTAAATCAAGCCTGATAATATATCTGTCACCTCACATATCATTTGTGGTGAAAGTATTTAAGATATACTATACCAACAATTTTATAGTATCAATACATTATTATTAACTGTGTTTTACTATGTGGTCCAATAGAGCTCCGGAACTGATTTATCCTGTCTAACTGAAACTTTGCACTCTGTGACCAACATCTCCCCATCCCTGCGCCTTCCCCCAGAGCCCCTGGAAACCACCATTCTATGCTCTGTTTCTGTGAGTTTGACTATTTTAGATTCCACATATAAATGAGATCACAGTATTTGTCTTTCTGTGCTGGGCTTATTTCACTTAGCACACTGTACTTTGGGTTTATGTCAAAAATGATAGGATTTTCTTCTTTTTATAAGACTGAATAGTATTTATTCTATTTTATAATCTGTCTATCACCTATCTATCTCTATCAATCATCTATTTGTTTATCTTTGGAATTTAAAAAGGTAAAGAGAATAAGAGAAAAATATTGGTGTGTTAGATGTTGTTCTGTGTTATTTCAGTTATTAATCACAGAGCTTAAGTGAAATTCTTTTAACTATTTAAACTCATTTAGCTCATAACTTTTAAGAAATCATAGAAAATGAACAGAGAACTATATATAAATTACATATCACTAATTTTTATAATTCTCCTTAAAATTTACTTGGGACAAATATAGAAACCGTATTTATGGACTATTTAAGGAGTATAAAATATGTATTTAAAAGCTGTTAAAAACTAGTTTTTAGCAAGTCGTCTTTGTAGAGAATGTCTTTGGAGCTTTATGGTCATGAGTTTTTAATGTTAGATTAACTGCATATTAAAGACAAAAGTGAAATATTAAGGAACAAACTGTTTTGAAGCTAGTGTAATTTATAATCACAGTATATATATTGGGAAGACTTTAAAAGTAGGAGAAATTACATAAATGAATATCCTGAGTAAACAATAGCTAACGTTTATTGTACACTTAGTATGTGTCACACATTTTTAAATGTTTTGTACTTATTAACTTATTGAACTCAGTAATGTCCCAGAGTAGGTACATAGTAGGATCTGGGATTATACAATGAAGAATCAAACAGAAAAGTAGCTCTGCTTTCAGAGATTTACATTTTAGGGGGAGAATACACAAAATAATTAAAATTAATAAAACATATAGCATGTTATATGGTGGTGAGTTTTATGGGGAGACATAAAGGCATAAACAGACGAAAGGGAGTCTGAATTTGTATGAATTTGGGGATCTTTCATTTTAAGAAATTATTCAGGGAAGGGCTCACTGAGACTGTGACATTTGAGCAAAGACCCGAAATCGGTGGCAAAGACATATGAATGTCTGGAAGAAGAAAGGCCCAGAAAGAGGGAACAAGTGCGAAGGCTCTGAGGTGGGAGCATGCTTTGCATGTTTGTTCCAGAAGCAGAGATGCTCATGGCCAGGAGGAGAGCAACAGGAAATGAGGTCAGAAAATTAATAAAGGGACTGATTTTGTAGACTTGAGCTTTTAGTTTGAGAAAGATGCAAAGTTAATGAATGGTTTGAGAAGAGATATGTAACGGAATTCCTCTAACTGCTACGTTGAGAATAGACTGTGGGGGCAAGAGTTAGAAGAGGAGGTCAAGTAGGATGCTGATGAAATATCCCAAACAGAAATTATGGTACTTAGATCAGGGCAGGGTGGAGTGTGGTGAGAAGTTGTTGAATTCTGGATATATTTCGAAGACAGAGCCAACAGGATGTGGCATCTGAAAGAGAGGAGTCAATGGGACAGGAGGCTTTGCTCTGAATCATCAGAAAAGCATTGTGAAGACAGTGGAAGAAACAGGTTCAGAAAAGGAAGATCAAGAGCTCAGTTTTGGACATTTCGGATTTGAGATCCCCATTAGATATCCAAGAAGAGGTAAATCTTTACTACACATTTGTGAGGTAGTTCCCAGCATTGTCCTGATCGTGCAAACAAAGCAAAAGTTTAGAAAGGTTAACTTCTCTTTATTCATCAGCAAGTAACAGAGGCAGCAGTCAAACTTGGGCAGTCTGACATCATAACCTCCGCTTCTAAGCACCATGAGATTTGCATCTAGGGATTTCAGAAATGAGTATGGTTGTGTTGATTCACATAGAATTATAATATGGGAAACCCTACTACCTATCATATCAAGAGCTTGTGATAGCTTAGATTTAAATGGCTCTTTTTAAAGAAACATTTGTAAAACCTTAAGTATTCTGGTTTCTCTCTCTTTCTCTCTGTCTCTATCTCCATCTCCAACTCCATCTCCATCTCTCCATCGATCTCTATCTCATCTCTATTCTTTTTAAAAAATATTTTTATTTTACCATAATAGACATCCAATCCATCTCTATTTCTATCTATCTCTAACTCTCTCCCCTCACTTTTACCCCAGAGAGCTGTTTTTCACATCTGTGTAGCTAGAGTGGCAGAGTTTTCCGTACTACATAGCTCTTAACAGCTTGTGACAAGTTTTCGTTTTGGTTACTACATTTCTGGTGCTGTTTGTATTTATGGCTCTTAGTCACGAGCTCTCCAGCATCTTAGCTTTCCAAAAGTTCTTGCCATTCCTGCTTCTTTTCTTTCTTTTTTTTTTTTTTTTTTGAGACAGGGCCTTACTCTGTCACCAGGCGCCAAGCTGGAGTGCAATGGTGTGATCTCGGCTCACTGCAATTTCCGCCTCCTGGGTTCAAGCAATTCTCCTGCCTCAGCCTCCCAAGTAGCTGGGACTACAGGTGCACACCACCACGCCCAGCTAATTTTTGTATTTTTTAG